ATTGGATGATGGATCCGTTGACCTTTTGAACCGGAAGTTGTTCTGCCGAACGTGGTTATGTGAAAGAGCAGTCAGCGGGTGTGTCCGAATCCACAGGCAGGATGCTTATGAGTACGGGTCCTCGCCGGTCTAGCAAGGCCGGGTCCTTGTCAGACCGCTACGACCAGAACCCAACAGCTCTGAATTTGGACAGTCTAGCCTTCACCTCTACGGTGGCCCGTAGGTCCCGTCACAGCCGTGGCGGAAGCTACACGCAAAGGAAAAATGCTAAAGCTAGCGAAAATCGAGCAGGAATATTAAGGAGCTACAGCAGCTTCACGTCCATCAGCAGCGTTTGTTCACAACCGTTTTCAGATAAAGTAACTTTGTTTATTCTAGAAGCTTTCAGGACTTACATGTTAACTTTAGATGGTTTCATGTATGTTTTAAGCTACAGAATGAACTTGTTAAACGTACACAACACATTACTACAGGGTATTATCATGTAGGTAATTAATATAAATCAAATGCATTATAAAAGTTGAATGCAGCAGGATGTTTTCTAATGTAAATTGGACCTTAGAACTTCTTTTGCATCAAATGGGGGTAAAACGTTTTAAAAAACAGGCTTTTTAATAAAATAGCATTGAACTGTTTTCAATGTGCATTTGTTTATTCAACGTACGCCTAATATAGATTAGATCTGTCTTTAAAATGTAAATTCTCTGTAGTTTCCCTGCTGCTTTACAGAACCAGTGTACTGCATGTTATATGTTTTGTTTTACATTTTTCAATAGAAAAACTCTTTTTTAATCTATTACAGGTCAGCATGCACTGTGCTGCACATCTGCCTCTGTGCTGGTGAAGTTGTGGGTCTGGAGGATGAGCCTGAGGAAGATGTGTGTGGAGGTCAGTGGTGCTCTGTCCTGGAGGAGGTACCAGCAGACCACCACTACTGTTAACAGGCAAGTTATTCACAGAGATGTAACAGCCGTCGTCTGAGCCAGCCCAGCAGGCCCTGTAGATGGACGATGGAGTGGACAGTGAGAGGAAGCGTCCCAAAGCTCTCTCTGCAGACCGTCCTGTATGATGTTCCTCTGACCAGAAACGTCCAGCCACGGGTCTGCTCCAGCCCTCCATCCACGTCTGGATCCTCCTGCAGCAGATCCAGCTGCACTGTTAAAGACTTCCTGCTCTCTCAGTTTAAATAAATGATCCAGAAAGAGTGTTACATCCCCTCCTGAACGTCTAGGAGGATGAGGGGACTAACACAGAAAAATAGGTGGAGGTGTGTGTGTGTGAGGATAAATAACGAGGTGGTGAGAGTAAAAAAACAAAAGGGTTTATTAACAAAGGGTGTCCATTTCTAACAGCAAAATAAGGCTTCCGACAATGGTGCTGAAAAGGTGGAAACTGAAAACATAAGCGATTAACTGCTTACGAAAAAACGGCCTTTTGCCGAACTAAAACAACAACCACCTAACAGAAAAATCCCCGGCTCAAAGTCGAATGGGGATAAAAACACCGAAATGAGAAAACTGACTGTCAGCTAAATCCTGCAAATGAGGAACTAAACCTGTTTCCTACCGAAAACCCTAAGCAAACATACACCACAGATTAACCGTAGCAAGAATCACTACCGAGCTCAGGAGAATCACAGACTAGCTCTGGATCTCCTGGACTGTCTGCTGCGCTCCTCTTTTGAAGCCCTGAGGGCTGCTTGATAGCTGATTTGGATGAGCTGCTGCCTTCTTTGGCGCGCCTCTCTCCACGGTCCCGAAATGGTGCTGGGAGAGTAAGCTGCTTCGGAGCTGTCCCCGGTGCTGAAACTCAGCAGTGGGGACAGCAGGCTCCGGTAAAGATGAGGAGGACAGAGGGGAAGAGGGTCGTCACAAAGAGTCACTCAGGTTAATCCTGCTTTAACCGTACATAACTGGTCCATACTGGTTTTGATCTGTAAATAAGTGTAACCCATTATAAATAATCTTGTCTCTTTACCATCTTTTCATTTTCTGTTCATGTAACATGTTCAAAAGCATCTGTAATAATAAAACTGGTGATAAAATAAATGACCAGACAGAGTTATTAGTATTTGTTTTAATAAACGTCTTCAAATATCAAACAGCTAAATAACATTAGCATGATGACAGTAGAAGGCCTCTCTCCCAGGAGGACCACCAGGTAAAGCCTCTCCTGACCCTGGACACCTGCAGTCCTACAGAGAAAATCAGAGACCACAGGTGACAAAAAGGCAATAAACACATTTTTACATTTATCCACATGAGAAGATAAAAATTATTTTCTTCACACAAACTATTTTAACTTAATGAAAACGTGTCAGCTGTGTAAATCCCTGAATGTAAAACTACCTTTCACAGCAGAACACAGAAGAACTTCTGTGGTTGTGTGTAAACAGCTCACTCTTCACCTGTAAGCTTAATTAAAAAATGCTCCTTTGCTCCGTTGTACTTAAAAGAAATGACAAGTTTAATTACACACACACACACACACACACACACACACACACACACACACACACACACACACACACACACACGCACGCACGCACACACACACACACACACACGCACACACACACACACGCACACGCGCACGCGCACACGCACACGCACACGCACACACACACACACACACGCAGGAATAACTGGGACCCGCGAAACAAACTTGTTCTGGCTGATATCTGCCTAAAATGTAATTTAAACAACAAATAAACCAGTGGAAAATGTCTATAAACAGAACCGCTTTAAGCTTTTTAGGTTTCTACGGCTAGTTTTTAACAAACTTACGTTTAAAGCTTCGTTGCTCTCCCCATTTTCTCTTCCTGTTGATAATCCACAGCCGGCACTTAAAGCATGCTGGGATAGCCTTGTTCTGTGAGGATACAACAGACCCATCCTCGAAATGTGGGCGGAGCGAGGACGCATTTGAGGAAGCGAGAATGAGTATTCTTGGAATTCGGACAGTACTCGTTGCTGCACTGTGACGTCATCGACCTCAAAATGCACTCTTACAAGCATCCTTCCCGTGGATTCGGACACACCCACAATTTTTACTTCATGTAAAGTTTTTACAATCAACCATAGATATTTTCCTCTCGTTGCTGTAGGACAGCGATCCAAAAGCAGCCTGGGGGCTGGATCCACATCTTTCCAAACCACTAGAATCCCTCTGTGAGGAGGAGGGCTTTTCTCAGCAGTTTTAGGTTAAATCAAAACATGATTAATAAGATTAATTAATTAAAATCACGATTAATTATTCTATCACTTATTAAATCTCTTGACAGCACTGATCTTTAGGCCTTCAGCTGTTTTTAAACCCTCTGCAGGTCTGCCTCACATCACCAGATAAGTTAGTTTAATTGGTGGTGGCAACCATCCACTCAACTGATCAGACAGATAAACACAAGAGCAGCTGACCTGGATTGAACCCAGTCAGTTAAAAATGATCACGTAATGTTAATTATGCTAAAAGGAAAATGAAAATATTTGACTTAAGAGTCTGTGTTTTTCATTTTTTAGAGACACTGACAGCTTGGACCATTTAGTCTGGAATAATAAGTCGAATCAGTGCCTGGCAAAAAGCCCCGGGTGTTTATCTGTTTGCTGGGTGTCTTTATTGTTGGCTCTTTTTGCTCTCAGAGACAAAGAAAGCCATCTGGAATCTGATTTTACACATACGATTATTCACGCCATCAGAATGACAGCACCATGAAAATGATAAAGACGTCATTTAATATGTGAAAACCTGCTGAAACGGCAGGAGATGAAACAAAAAGCTGGCTTCTGAGAGGATTAAAGCCAGTATCACTGATGAATGCTCCCGTATTTGTTTGGATCATCCGCGATTATTATCACCAAAAGTAGAAAACAAATACAGGCTGCATAATGTTCCAACATATTGATTTAGTTGTCTCTAACATAGATTTTATCTCTGAAATTAAAATGTCATTTAAGAGTTGAGGTGCAAACGCAATGATGGAACTAAAACTAGAAAGACTGCATGCTGATCCCAGCATTATACAGTAAACCATGAAGAAACAGGGTTAAATGAACTGAAGCCACAGGAAATAAACAGAAACAGTGAAAATAACTTTAAAAGTCAGACTCAAAACTTTCTGATTTATGGGAATATGCACTAAAACCAGAACTCTTCAATCAAAGAGTGATGACAGTTGCCATTTAAAAATCTTCTTTCTCTTTAGGCTTTTCACTTTAATTCTTCACTTCTAAACTAAACTGACCCTCAAATATTTAAGAAAAAAATACAGAAAAGTCAATAGTTTAAATTTTTTATTCAGCTTTCCTGAAAATTTTGATAAATGCGCTAATAGTGCTTTTGTTTGAAGTTAGCTAACGGTACATTGTCTTCCAGATGGCTCCTGTAAACTGCTAGTTGGCTTAGAGAAACATTTCCTAGCACAGAGCTAATGGTTAGCATTTTATACTGATCTACTTTTTAAATTCGTTTACCAAAATGTAAACCAATAAAAATACTTTTGCTGCCACTGGTTAAAATTTGCTGACATCAAAACATTTGCTAAAGGTGGGCAATTTATCTGGTTAGCCTCTTGTTTTAGGTTAGCAACAAGCTACCAGCTCAGTGGCCTAGTGGAAGAGTGTCCACCCTGGGAATGGAAGATTGTGGTTCAAATCCTGGTCAGGTCATACCAAAGACAGACAAAATGGGACCCAACGCCTCCCTGCTTTAACTTTAAGGGCTTGGATTGGGGATTGAACCACCAAATGGTTCCCGAGCGCGGCCACAGCACCGCTGCCCCAAGGGATGGGTCATATGCAGAGAACAAATTTCACACACTAGTGTGTGTGACAACCAGAGGGACTTTAACTTTAGCTAATGGTAAACTGGTATCAGAACCATGCTTAATCTGAAACCGCCGACCCACCTGTGATGAGTTGTTTACCGCTGATGTCCACCGATTCAGTCAGTGGACATCATCGCTTTATCTTTTCTGATGATAAAGAACCCAGTGAGTAATGCAATCACTTTCAACAATGCCTTTTTATTTTGGCATCTTTGAAAATTACTCCACGAATGGCAGTTTTTGACTGAAGAATGAAGAACAATGTAAAAGATTTGTTGTCAGAAAACAAAAATACAGAGAGTTCAGCATCACGGGGCTGAGGGAAATGCTAACTCGCAGATGAAGTTTTGAATTTTGAAAAAAAAAAGTCCTTTCTGTGTACATCGTGATTACAAGCAAAAAAAAAAAGATGACATTTTAAATATGATTTCATCCCAGTTTTAAAGTAAATCTAACAATTCTCCTCAGCCCCGTGCAGCAGTTTCTTTAGCCTCTTTTGGTTTTTGTGTTTTTCTGACAATCGTTTTAAACGTTCAGCGGGGCAGAAGAAAATAAAACTCAAAGCGGAGCGAGTTTACGCAGAATGCAAAGACCTCGGCCCTGACAGGATCAACAGGTTGTGTTTGTGTGAAACACCCGGGCTCAGCTGGAGAGACGAGCAAATAAAACAATCACAGCAAGTGTGTTCTCCACACGTTCTGGTGTACATGCTGAGTCAGTAAATACCCTTTTTTACCTTTTTGGCGTAAAAACAGGAAGTGATGAGCATCAAAAGGTTAGTAGTTTTCCAAAAGCGCAGCGCTTCTCTTTCATGAGCCGAGCAGCGCACCGGCACAGAAATGTGTACATTATTTACAGCCGTCTGCGCCTCGTCTTTGCATCTTTTTAAAAGTAAATCCAACAAAGAGGTTGATGCTACGGGTAAATGTCTGTGATAGTCTTCCAATAACCAGGTCAGGTGAGACGGAGGGATGCTGTGTAAAAGATACCCAACAGCTGCTTTCATTTATCCGTCTTTATCAATCTTATTTCTATATTTATAAAAGAACATGATGTCGTGTTTCTCTAACTATGAACTAAACAACAGCCGCCATTCAGCCACCTTCCTTCAGGCAGAAAACTGAGCTGCCTCAGCTTGAACTCTGACCCTAATATATTCACGACCTTTGGTTATTTATTCATTCGTACCGACCTGAGTGTCTAATCTCCCCTGTCCCTAAATGCTGTAAAATCAATCTGTCACGTTTCTCTGCAGGATTCATTTTTAGTTTCCTCATCATGACTCACTGACGCGAACATGCAGACAGGATGGAGAAAAATGAGAATGCGTGATTTTCATCATCTAAATGACCAGAAGAACCAATACAGCAGAAATGTTCAATTGTTTGTTCATCTAATTAATTAGAAACTCTTAAACTTCAACAAGAGAAAACAATCACCAGATTATTTAGCTATTTTTCATTTGGCACAATAAAACACAAACGTGTGGGTTTACAGTCCCCTAATTATTAAGTACTTACATGGTAATTACATAGCAAGTTAAAGTGTAATATTATTTCTGAGTTCTTAAACAGTTATTGCCATGTAACTCAGGTTCAATTCTTGTTTTTGTTTTTCTTAATCATTCCCAGTATATACTGCTTCACTTATTAATGACACTTTATTACAATTATACACTTTCACTACACAATAATATACTTTAACTTACTATGTAATTACCGTGTAAGTACTTAGTAATTAGGGGACAGTAAAAGGAAGTGTTACCAACAAGAGTAATGATCATAAAAAAGTAATGCTGGAATATAATATTTCACTTTTCTCATATCTTTAAATATTTACTTAACTTTAGTAATATTTGTAGTGCATGTTTCATGAGCCAAAGGGACTAAACCATCCTAGTGACCTTGCAGTTAACTCATTCACTGCCAATGACGACTAAAGTCGTCATTTGCATTTTTTTTTACTGTTTGAGCATCAGAACGAGCCCCCGCGCTGAGAGAACAAACATCTCAGCCCTGAAGCCGATCTTCATCCGCATACGTCACATGTCACATGATCAGGAAGCAGAACATCCATGTGTTTGGAGATCGTTTTGGGTCGTTCCTGTAAAAAAAGTGAGAAGCGAACTGGAAAAGCGTCTGCCGATCACAATTCGACAACGGATTATGAAAGAACGGATAACGCTCGAAACACGCGGATTCTTCCTGATGTAAGAGGTGAGTCCTCTTTGTTTTGGTTGTTTTGGCATCGACATCATGCTAGCACGGAACGTTCTGTGACTCTTAAAAAAAACAGTAAAAACGGTGAGAAACGCTGGCAGCGAAGGCCGTTAGCGACCAGGAAACGGCTGGCAGTGAATGCGTTAACGGGCTTGGATTGCCATCACGAGTCCCATGAAACGGTTTCTGGATGTTTTGGGATTTTAAATAAACCCAAAGGGAAACTTTTCCCAAGTAACCAAATACGTTTGGTCAGGATCAGGAAAAACGGAATGAAGTTTTTTTCCATTCTTATTCCTACAGCTGATGAATGAACCCAAGGTTGCAATATTTCAGTCTTCTTGAAACACTTTTGATATTTTGCTTTGTTCTCTAAAATTATGATTTATTATTGTGTCCAGGTGACTTTGTGGTTTATCTGAACACCACAAACGCGTCCAGGTGCAGTCCTACCTGTCCTCTCTCTGCTCCCACACACCTGGTGGGCAGGTCCTCCGGCTGCAGACACAACTAAGTAGTGTAATGTTACAGAAACTGATGCATCCCCTGTTGCCTGTTTCTTGTCATTTTTTTAGGCTCCGCCTTCTCCATGTTGGTGAAAGGGATATTTTTTAAAATAAATAATAAAGTTCAGAAACTTTTGATTTCAGAACCAGTTTTAGGTATGTTGATTTTTTCTTACATGGTGCGGTTTCACTGATGCTCAGCAGAACACAGAACCTGGTTCTCGGTTACAGGTTTACGTATTCGTACACAGACGCTGATTTCTTTGTTTTCCAGTTCCCAGCTCCTCAGACTGGCTCCCAGTATAACCAGTCCTCAGCCTCATTCAGCCCGGTTCATAGGCAGTGTGTGGTGTCGGAACACACCAACATTCCCCGGTCACACTGGAAATGTCCGAAAACCCCTCGAGACCAAATGCTACTTCAGAGTAAACCTCACTTTCTGATTCAACCGGCTCGTTCTGCTTCCATGTCGGACCAAGACGACCTAACATGTGGAACATCCGGGATTAATGGTTGGAGAGGTCCTGGTGTGATTCTGGGCACGCGCTGCACTCAGCAGGAATGTCTGAAGGGAAGGATCGAACCGGGCCTTAACGGATCAGCGTGCTTGTTTGAGTTGGTCCGCTAAAACTAACTGGATTAATCCTGTCAGCTGCAGCTGCTCGTGCTGTCTTCAGGCGCCGAACGTGACCCACCCAGATTCTCCTGGTAAATAAAACCACCACCAACCTGGAGACCCGACTAGCTGGAGAGAAACCTCACCTGTGCGTGAGCTTGTCAGCAGTAGAGCTGAACTCCAGTGCGTGCTCTCTCTCTGAAAAGAGAATTACAACAGTTTACACAATCGGAGCAAAATAAGCTCAGAAGTGCTTCAACTCAAAAACCGTTTATTCCTTTTGTTGTGAAAAGCCACTCGATGCATTTCCCTGCGACGGGCAGCTGGTCCTCATGTAGAGGACGTCTTCAGAAGGAAAACCCGACGTAGCTTAAGCCTTTCAGTCTGTCAAACCTCAACGTTCAAACGATCTTCAGGTGGAAGTTCCAACGAGCAAAACCTCCCCGGTGTGTCCTAGACTCACGTTTACGCGTAAACGGGGACACGAACATGTGGAGTGACATTCTGTGGCTTGAAACTGCTTTTTCCACATCAACACACATTTAAACAACAAACCAAACCAACACACAGAACGATAAATAAAAGAAACGCCCTTTAACAGTCAGATGTGGCCGAAGGTCTTTGCATTCACACACAGGGGAAAACGTTGTGAGTCGGACGAAACCAAATACAAATCAGATGCCAAAGAAAGTCTGTCTCGTGTGCTTCTTCTTGCCACAAGTGCATCGACGTAAGGCACAGTTCCCCTCTTTCAACAGAGCGGCCCACTTTATTATTTTACCTTTAAAAAACTTGCTCAGAGCCAGAACCGCGTAGGGCGACCCCGCCGACCTTCAGTCAGCCTCAAGCTTCTGTTTTCATTTAAAGTTGTTTCTAATCTGATTCCGCCCACTCCAGATGTTGGTGTGCGGACCATCACCCGCCCAGTGGGTCGTGGGGGAAGGGTGTGTGTGTGTGTGGGCATCAGCGTTTTTACCAGAACAATATGAATAGCTTCACAAAGCTCTGGTGCTTTTGTACTTTAGTTACAAGGAAAAACGCCATAACAAGATTTAATCCACAACTTTACCTGCCGTAAATGGCTCCATGAAGGACCTCAGTTTGGAGAAACGGGTTTGTTCAGGCAAGATCGATGACCTAACTACTAGTTTGAAAGAGAAAGGCCAGACTTCTAAGTGGTTTTTATTTTAGAAACCATTAAAGAGCAAGTCACCCCAAATCAACTTTTTTTTCTGATAAACTACATAAATGTGTGTCTAATCGTGCTGCAGACACGTGTAGTCAATAGTTTTGCACTTTAGTGCATTTTAGTTAAAACTTCAATTTTCTGCCTAAAACTGTCAGCGTTGTGCCGTTGTCAGGTAAAAACTCTGCACTGCATTAGAATTTAAATCTGCCATCGCTATTGGCTAAGAGGTACCATAGAACTTTAGCTGGCACCATATGATGTCACAATGTCGTTGTGAGTCTGTGTGTGTGTGTTTGTTAGTGGCTCCGCCCTCTCCGTCTGCTAGGCAACAGCATTTGTTGCATTTTTCAAACAGGAAGTGGGAGTTGAGTAAGAGTCTGGTAGGGGGTGACTTGCTCTTTAAAGTCATAAACTCAGCATCACTCAGGTGTTTACGAAGAACCTGATGTTTATTAGCAGCAGAAATTAGCGGCTATGCTAGCTAGCGGCGTTCTCTGAAGATGTGTCACTTCTCATTCAGAGATCTGGATAAACATCCGAGGTTTTTAACTTTTTTCTTTCTCAGATTCAAGCACTTTCAAGGTAAAGGTTCAAGCCTTCTGTCAGCAACCGCTTGATCGTGTGATTAAAACAAACGTCACTTGCTGGTCTCTGGGTAATAAATGTAATGGCTCTGCGACCAATTTCAATTACGGTTCAAACATTAGAGTAAACTGGATTTTCAAGGATCGTAAGTCACCGGAGAGCAGCCCGTAGTCAGAACCTTCGCTATCACACAGGTAGCTGCAGCCGGGTCAGAACTTCAGAGTATGTCTAACAAAACAATTTGATTCAGCTGATTAGATTCGCTCTTCAGGGATTTGTTGAGTCAAAAATCAGATCGTCTGAGATGTGAGAAGCTATAAGAGCGACAAGGACATAAAAGCTGGGAGGCCCGTTGTCATCGGCGACCGCCCCGGCGGTTCTGGTACTGAAGTGCTCGAGGAAAAACGGGAACAGATCATTGTCTATTACAGTAAATCTCTGGAGGTTTTCCTCCACGTCTGCCGGGAGTGTGTTTGAGAGTGTAGAAAGCTACTGTGTGTGTGTGTGTGTGTGTGTGTGTGTGTGTGTGTGTGTGTGTGTGTGTGTGTGTCAGGGTCAAGCAGATCGAGAACAAACACCAACACGGTTTACAGCAGTCTGTCAAGTTTTTTTCTCAATATGAAGAAGCTAAAGGTTCAGTTCTGTTAAAAAGCCGTTAAAACCTGCATCTTTACGAGTCTCGTAGCAGTGAGGAGGGAAAATACGTGATTGCACCTATCGGCAGCCCGGAGTTCAACCCGTCCTCCCCTCTGGCTTCAGAACCGGGCTGAGCCTATTGGTGTCGGAGTGTTTGTGGTTGCTAGCTTGTCTCTCGGCTCCGCGAGACCGTCTGAGCGGCACATCTGTCCATTCTGCCCGTCTCTCTTCTTAAATTCATTTGATCTTTTAGGATTTCCAATTTCTGGTTACAAACGAGTCCTAGAGGCAGACGCTGTCGTTCATCTGGCAGGTGGAGCCGGTGCCGGCCTGGGACAGGAAGAGCCTCCCGTTGGGGCAGACGCAAACCTCGTAGACGTTCGGCCTGGTCCCTGAGGACGAGGAGCTGGGGGAGGCCACCCCTACAGGCAGCCCCATCAGACGGATCCTCTGAGCGTCCAGAGAAATCTGTGGTGGTGGTGGTGGGGGGGGGGGGGGGGGGGGGGGGGGGGGGACAGAAAACGGGGCAGACTGGATTTAAAGTCGGACTTTTGCTCATAATTATCCAAAAACCATTTATTAAAATGAAATATTAACATGTTGCTGTTTTTAGTTTGTAGAAGTCAGAACATCTGTCTCTTACTGCTTCTGCCTGACGCTGTCGACGCTCCTGAAACATCACACCTTTAAAAGTTCTCACTGGGACACTTGGGCTTCCGTAGAAACCGTTTCTGTTCTATAAACATTTGCACTCAACAGCTCAACAGCGCAGAGCGGGCACGTAACCCTCACGAGAACATCTAGATGACCACATAAACAACAACAGATGTGCTCAGAGACGTTTATTCAGCTTTTATTAAGCATCGTTCTAAAATGACGTTTTTCTGAGCTGGAAAATATCAAAAGAATAAGTCGGGCCACTCGAAGATTTACTTCTTTTATATCCTTAGTGATGAGAAAGATCACTCCCTCTCCTCCGTACCGAACATCTGCTGCACAAATCCAATCTCTCCTTCATCTCCTCCCCCTCGGTGGCCTCCCGGGGCCTGTGCCTACCGGTGTTTTACCGGCCACAGCGAGGAGAGCTCTGCTCATAAAAACGCTAAAGGAGCTATTACCGGGAGCCTCTGGGAGGCATCGCCAACAAATGACCTGGAACCGTCTCAGCTGACTTCCTCAGACAGCTGCTGCTGAACTAATCTTTCTCCAGGAGGGGCGGTCGGACCGGACTCTCCGGGATTATGTGGGTCAAAGGTCACACGGAGAAGAGGAGGTTTAGATTAGGTGTTAAAAGCTGAAACATTAACCTTGTTAAGCGTTCGCCTCCTGCCTCAGAGACTATTAAGCATCCTCTGTCAGTTTTAGACAAAAAAGGGCAAAAGGACCTCCAGGAGGAACGCAGAGATGAAACAGCAACCAGGTGCGTTCAGTCTGCCGATGGTCTACCTGAACTAGTCAGAGCTAATAAATGTGGCACAAACACCAGCCAGGTACCGGACTCACGTTCAGCTAGGAGCTACTCGGCTGCTGCTGATGTTGGTGTCCTCCTGCATCCCAGGAGGCGACACTAACCAGCCACAGGAGGGGTTTGGCTCACACTAGCGGCATACACGTCATAATTGAACCAGGACCACCTCCTCCAGCGGTTTTTTGGTTCTGCACAGGTGTGATTCCTGTGTTCACAACTTCTAAAAGCAACTGAACCAAGAGAGAAACGGACCTGGGTTGGATTAGGATGGACCTGCAGTTCAGCAGCAGCTTCTGAACGAGGATCGATGCCACATTTACGTCAGGCTGAGCGGAGGGACATGTTGGTGCTCCCGTTCCCCCGGCTCAGGAGCTCTTCAGGCTCTCTGGGAGCTCCGTGTAACTTACATTTAAAATAAAGTCTGGGATTAATAACCAGCTTTTAATCCAGATCATATTTTGTGGATCTGAGAGCATTAACTGCTCCCTCTCTCTCTAAATTCTGCTCACACTCAGAAAGTCCCTTCTCCTGTTCAAACATGCTTCATTTGCTCTTGAATCGTTCCTCTCTGGAGTTTCAGCTCCTCCCCTCTGTGCTCCTAAAACGTGCTCTCACGGACTGAAGGAAGGCGATCCTGCCCTGAGTCCCCCAGCCAATAGGAGGCCAGATATGGTGCTGACCAATGAGCTGGTCACACTCTTGGCCTTCTGGGCTCGCTGCAACAGTTTCACACACGTCTGATGACATCCTGGTTCCATCACACCATCAGGTGTCATGCCTTCCTGTTGTCAGCTGCTGAGGTCATCTCCAGGAACCAAACCGCCTCATTAGTGACACCTAAAGGTGGGTTTGAAGACTAAACGCTGGTGGACCACTGGGCCTCACCAGTCTGCACGTTAACTCTGACCAGAACCGAGTCAGAAACAAAACCCTTGAACGTGTAAATTATTGAGAAAAACAGGAAACCCGTCGCTGTTCCAGTCTGTCCAGACAGCGGCATGCTCCGAGCCGACGTGCTGGTGTGCCCCCTTATTGGCTAATGAGCGGCCTCGAGCACGTCTGACAGCTCCGGCGTCGGCCCGAGAGCTCCGTCCGCGTCTAACAGCCAGAACCTTTCAGTAATTGCAGTGGCAGCGCCCGAGGACGTGGAGAGGGAGTCTTCTGTGTAAGACAGAGGGTTGACAAATGGACATTTGCAGCACTAATGGAGTGTGAGAGCGCAGCTCTAATTACGAGCACTGCCCACAGTCAGCTTCACATTTCATCTCTGACCACACAGCCGTGAAAGCAGCGAGGAGCGGCAGCGGAGGCGTGGCTTCAGAGAGCGCTCAGCTGGATTTTAATGGGCCTAAACCAGATTCAAGGGCACCTTCATCCCCCCCCCCCACACACACACACACACACACACACAGACCGTCCGCCCGTCTCACATCAGCGCCTCGTCTTGACGTGCGTCCCTGGTTTGTTTGTGGGAAACTTTTGAGACACATCTTCTCCCTATTCCTCCGCTGGTGGTTGTACCGGAACTGGCACGAGACGCTCGGTAAAAACCCACGGAGGAAAATCCCTTCATCGGCACGGCCGGCCGTGAGGAAGGCGAGGAACAAATGGGGTCGGTCGGAGTGTTTTAGGAGAATAAAACACAAAAGAGCGGGGATGAAGCGGCAGGAAGTGGGTGGATGAGTGAAAACTGGAGACAAACATGTGAAAGTCGCAACGAGGACGGAGAACCTGGGGGGGCTCCAAACAATGGAGAAAGCACAAAGCCATCAGTGCACGAAAGGCTCCACGCCAGAGCCAAAGGGTTGCAGAGGAACAGTCAGATCAACTTCTGCTTCAAGCTCTCCTGCTTTTGTGTGATCCTGGTGGACGGCCAGCGAGCGGGAATTGCCAGCAGCGTTCCTAATGTCGGCCGCGTCGGCTCAGGGAGCTCAACATTGTTTGGATTGTTGTTGCTAAAAATAAGTTTGGACAGAAAAAAAACCTAATTTAGTCAGAACCTCATCAGCCAGCGGACAACAGGAGCGCTTTGCTTGGTACAGGGAGAGAGAGTGTGTGTGTGTGTGTGTGTGTGTGTGTGTGTGTGTGTGTGTGTGTGTGTGTGTGTGTGTGTGTGTGTGTGTGTTGGGGGTCTCTCTTCAACAGACTCGCTTCTTTTTGAGGTTTTCTTCCTGTTCATCAATGTGGTTCTTTTACAGCTCATTGCTTTAAAGGTTTATTTGATGTTTGAATTGAACTCTGATTACGTTCTGGGCGTCTGGCATTATTTCTGCTCACATCATGAAGTTTCAGAACTCAGCCGCTGACAGACCTGTCCGTCTTTGGACTCCAGTCGCAGCTCGTTCCTGCAGATGGCGTGGATGTCTCCGGCTTCGGCCAGGATCTGGATTCCTTTAGGGGCCTCCATCAGCAGAGAGCGGGTTGGAGACTCCAGCCTGGAAGAGGAATCCCAAAACACCTCTGAGTTAGTGATCCAGCAGCTCAGGATGGCTTCAAACCTGCTTCGTAGAGACGTTTTATGAAATCATGGCAGAGTGAAATGAATCTAACAGTTTTAGAAGAAGAATCCCGCCTCTGTGAACAGGCATCATGTTTATTTTGAGGAGGAATTCTAAGGAAAACAACATAAAGCAGCTTCAGACTCACAAAACCCACGAGCAGAAGAAACCAGAACAAACCAAAGGTGCATCAGAAACTGTAATCAGCAAACAAACAAAGTCGACCTTTAGCCCAAAGGGCCGCAGCTGAGCTGAGGCCCGACTCTGCGTTTTAAAACTTAAACGGGTCCATTTGGGCTGCAGACGGATTTCACCCCGAGTGGATCTGACACCTGAACAGCAGTGGAAAATGGCGGGCAAATTTCCAAATGAAATCTTTAATCTTCTTTTCTTAACCTCTCATGGTTAAGCAGCACTTCAGACGCGTTAATTAGACGGTTCAAGTAAAACCGCTCTATTAAAGCTCATCGCTGATCTGGTTTGAATTTGGAAGCTGTGATCTCCCATTTGCTCCTGAACTCATCATCTTATTGACATCAACATCAAGTTTTGGAACTGGATGACTTAATTATTGCTAGGGCGGCCATCTTGACTCGGACTGACAAAAAAAAAAAAATCATCATCCAGTAAAATTTGGTGAGTTTCTTTTAAAAATCCGGACTCAAACGTGCAAAAACGTAATGATGAATTTTCTGTGTTTTGTAAGTTTTTTACAGTGTTTGTATGAAAACATTCCTGGGCCTTTTCCCTTTTAGAGGCGTGATGGTGATGATCTGGATTTGCTGGGAAGGTGAAGAAAAGGTTTTCCTGGATGTGGAAACTTCTGCAGGTTGAAACTAGAGCAGGTGTCTAAACTCCTAACTGTACCCAGGAATCCCAGGATGATGTTTGAAACTCCCACGCCTCGTGGGTTCAGGAATCGGAGGAGTTCACAGGAATTCCGGCTCTTTGGGAAGGAAGGATTTCCTCTCCTCTCTCTTCTTTCAGGTTTCTCCTGTGGGAGTTCAACTACCAAGTCTCTCTCAGGCTTTCTCTTTCTGACCTCTGATTCAAACCGTCTCTTTTCAGTATCAGACAAAAATGCAGCTTCATGTTTGGATCATCTTTCTGTTCATCTGCCGATCCCATGGCTCTACACCTTCATTTCCACACTGCTTTCCTCATGTACGACGCCACAACCTCATTTCCTCCCAGAGATCAATAAAGTTTCATCTTCTTCTCTCTCTGTCTGGTTTTTCTTCTTCACTTCATTCACTCATATCTGCTCTTTCCTGCTTCATATCTACAACCAGGATCACGGGCTAATACTGTAACTCCCCGTGCTCCATCCTGAAATGTTCTTGTCCTGAAAAATCTCCATACTCTGGTGACGCCCAACAAGCAGCTAAAGCCTCGTTATATAATTCACAGACAGCTGATGTGTTACTTGTGTGAAAATCAGCATTTTGACAACCAAAACCTCCGGCGCCTTCGTAGCAGCTAACATTTAAAGTCAGGGATGTTCCTGTGGTCGTATCTTCTGGACCAAGAGAAAGTGGTCGGTATGGTGGAGCACATGATGTCTCAGGGTGTTTCTCAATGTCAAGGCGCCTGGCCTTGCGAGGCGATGTCTAGCGAGGACACGGTCCTTCCTTGGTCAAAAAAAGAAAACGGTTAAATGGAACAGACTTGCATCACGTGACCGCGGCTTCCACGGCAGTCACGTAACGTCACGTGACACGGGAGATAACGTTATATTTTATACGTATTAGTGAAAATATAAATATATAACGAGACTTTTACTGTTTAAATTGTGTATATGTTTATTAATTAAAAGTATAAGTGAGTTAGTGCCCGCTGGCCACCGAAGCTGCAACTACTAAGCAACTAACCAACCATAGAGAACTTATTTGGATCTAAAATAAACATTTAAAATGAACTGACTTACTTTTAAACTTGAAAATTGTCCCGAGAAGTAGCTGCCGGCTTCTGATCCACCGTCCTATTGAAAATACCGTGGTGTGTTGTGGGTAATTATTGGCCAAGGCTAGGCTACAAGACACCTCCCGTGTATCATTGCTCAGCTAGCTAAACGGCTAACAAACGGAGAACAAACGCCTCGGTAGAACATGAACATTGGAACGCGTCTTGGCGGCTCCCGATGACGTATCTCCTAGGCAACCGGGGCGGGGCTAAGACATCAAGGCAAGGTTCCTTGGCATTGAGAAACACCCTGAGTCTCTTTAGGTTTCCAGTCCCTGGTCCATAACCTCAGCGCAGAGCAGGTTGGACTCCTTGTCTCCGATTCTGTGTTTGGTCTTCTTGGAGGGCTCTTAAAGGTCTCATTGAGGAACTTCAAGTCTCATCTCTGCCTTTTGCCGATGATGTGATTCTAAAGGTGGCATCAAACAGTAACATGAACTGTTCCTGCCTGGTTGGAGGGGATTTAAAGCATCCCGGGGTCTCTTGGTGTAATGTGGGATGGATCAAAGCAACATGTGGACAATAAACTACTCTTCTGTAGTAAAGAAGGTGCTGAACTGGAGGTTTACTGGTCAACCTGTATTTTAACCCTCACCTAAGCTTTTGGTAGGGTGGCCAGGCTCAGCCTCAGAGATGAGGCCAGGAGATCCAACATCTGGGTGGGACTCAGACTAGAACTGACGCTCGTCCACATCAAGAGAAACCAGCTGACGTGGTTCAGAGAGCCTCCTGGAGGGGGAGGAGCTTTGGACGCGAGTCAAGCTAGGACACGCTAGAGATTTTATTTGCGTGTGGGAACGGCGAGGGAACAGGTCCCCTTGTGACCCCGATAGTCACTAATAATGGGGGACATGTTGAATAAAGTGCCACCTGAGAACATCTGCATGGACAGTCGTCGTACTCCACGAGCAGCTGTGAGGGTGACAGGAATGATCTTTAAGACCCGGCCTAAGCCCTAACCCTCCCTCAGCTAAACAAGAGAGGACAATGACAGGAGCAGCTGCAGCAAACGGAGAAGACGAAGCGTTGGGACTGTACATGTCTCCATTCCTTTCCAGAGTTACCAAACATCCAGATCAGGACGCACCCCCCCCCCCCCCCCCCCCCCCCCTCGTGGCTTTGACCTCGTCGCACGAATCCATTACTTTCTGTGTTATTTTTTATTTTTTGTCCTTCTGAAGCTGCTGAGGGTCGGGGGCTGAGGAGAGGGATGAAAGACAGAAGACCAGAACAAAGTGAGGGATGAAGAGATGAAGGTGGAAGAAGAGATCAAAGCGACTCGGTGAATACCGGGGCGGTGAAGTCAATGAGCAGGAAGAGAAAGGACCTTAGAGATGAAAAGGGTTGTGGAGAAAGCGGTGACCTTTAGGCCACGTTTGTTTAATCTATGGTTTTAAACGGAGGTCGGGTCGTTCTTCTGAAACATCAGAATCCTTTCTGCAGACCGGCCTTCTCACGCCGGAGGAGTTTTATTTCACTTTTAGTGCACGGATTCCCACGTTTAACCTTGTCGGGGTTCTACAGAGTCCTTTAGTGACAGATGTTCAGTCACAAATACCCGTAGTTTTTATTCACCTTCACTGCGTTAAAGCTGTATCCATGGAGACGTCAGCCTCACAGTTAAGACCCTGTCCACTTCCATATTAAGGGACCTGTCGACTCCAAGGAACCAAACTGGCTTCTCCAGGACATTTAAGGTGAGACTGACTTGTTCAAATGCTTTCATTATTAGTTTAATTCTTTTAGCAACTTGTCATTTAGTTTTCACTCCGTTCCCCCAAATATGAATCAGTGTTGCCAACTCAGCGACTTTGTCGCTGTTCCTAACGACTTTTTGACCCCCTCAACGACTTTTTTTCTTCAAAAAGCGCCTAGCGACAAACCTAGCGACATTTCTCAGGACCTGTTGCTACTTTCTGTAGAACTTTCTTGTAGATATTCCCCACAGATTAGCAACAAGCCATTTGCACTCTGAACCGTTCTTCCGGGAGTAAGGAAAGAGAACGATAATCTGCACATGTGCACGAGGACTGACCAATCATAAACTGTTTTCGGCTGGGCCGATTCGCTGAAGACAAAGGTACAGCTGCAGAGCTGGAGACCGCCGATTTACGTCTGCTGCTGCTGCTGCAGGCTCACCTTCCACTAGAGACGGCGCGGGCGTCAACCTGCGATCTCTGGTTCTGCAGCCGTCAGACACTTTGGCTTTTCCTGCATTTGGCAAATAAAGTCATCGGGAGTTTCAACTACCGTCCCGTTTACACACGCAGCTCTGTGGCTCATCTGAAGTTCCTTCAGAGACACAGGGATGGTTATACCATGAGACACCCGCTCCCTTTTGCTCGGTGCGCCGTTATTATCACGATGGAGAGAAAACACAACAGAGGAGTAAAAAAACAGCTTTTTAGGAAAATGTCTGTGAGAATGAGGAGAGCAGGAGGTCTGAGTTATATCCTACAACAGAACTGTTTGGATCACCACACCATATCTGTCTTAATGTCACTTTATTGATACTTTTGGAATTTATTGTACATATCAAAGCAATTTGGGCCATTTTAATCATACTAATTAATAACTTTAACACAACGTTTTTTTTACTCCCTTTTTAGTCCTATAAATCTATCTTTAAGATGCTGTGGGGAAAATGAACGCCAATGTGGCGTGATGACATCATAAATATGTAAATTAGCACGTGACATCATCTGGCGACATCTAGCTACTTTTGGGGGGAACTTCAGCTACTTTCAGTCAAAAACAGTTGGCAGCACTGATATGAATACACCGGACTTGTGTTTCCGTACATCTGGTGAATGTCTCAGTGTTCGTATGGCAGACTGCAGGTTTCTAAGTCACACACACAGGTAAGGAATGGAGCTAGCAGCCTGTAAACAAAGGCACGTGACTGGCTTCTGGTCTTACATGAATCAGGTTGTACAGCTGACCCACATTAGTGTCCGTGTTCAGCCGTTCCCGGTGCAGAGTCGGACAAACAGCCAGAGACTGAGCAGAAGGTTCTGTGCTGTGTCCGTGGCGCGAGAGGGTGAGGGCACCCACCAGACCCGTTTCTCACTTGTAACAGAACATCAGCTGAGTTAAGTCAGGCTGAGCCACACCTGGGGGATAAAGGGCCGCGTGGGGCTCCAGAACCACAGATTGGAGCCTGCTGGTCCACACCAGACATCAGAGTGAACTTTGATGAGAAATTTAATTCCCGAGTCGCCTTATTTCAACAAAAGTTCTTCTCCTGCTCCCGACTGCTCCTGATTTATTAACATATCTGGATACAAATCAAATCACAGCACCAAAGTTAACCATGATGCTTTTAGAGACACCCGATGCGAGGACACGTCCGGCGGCTGCAGGTGTGTGTGTGTGTTTAGCAGCTAGTGTGTGTCATGACGTTATTCTCAAATAGGATGTGAATGCTGGATTGCTACCTGCCAAGAGGTTTGGAGCGATTAGAGTGAGATTAGATTTTAGCTGCGCTCCAATGAGCCGGCGCGTCTTTTCTGACAGAATTGGATAGTTTTGGCCATTTTTCATCTTCTCCTGGCTCCACGGCACCAAACAGGAACAAACGGGAAGGAGACAAAAGCAGGAAAACACTCACCGCCACAAACTGTCACATTATGAAGACACTGATGTGACGGGGGATTTGGAGCGTTGGGAAATCATCTGAACTTTCCTAACGGGACTTTTCTTTCTCCCCTCTATTATTTAAATGATGATTCAGAGAAAAGCAGCAGTGAAGGATCGTCTGCTCATCCAACAAAAACTATTATTAGATATTTGTCATCGTGTCCTTTGTGTCGTGGACTGTTAGAGACTTTTATCTTGTTTGGGATTATTCTCTCTGCTTTCAGCTTCTTCTGGCTCTCTTCTGTCCTCCATCTTAACTTTTAAATTCTTCTAGTTTGTGGTTGAAGTCGTGAGGGGTTCAGTGTTGCTGCAACGCTTTTTTCAGACTAGCTGGACAAAGACAACATGGTGATCCGACATGGACAGGAGGATCTGAAGATCTTAGAACATCTGGAGGAACTTCAGATCCAAAAAAACAAACAAAAGACCCAGAGACATCCCATCAGCAGCTGAATCTGATCAAGATCTTTATGTAAGAGGTAACCTAACCCGAGCCAGAGCTCCACTTCCCTCTGAGGTCAGGAGAGGTCATGAAGTAAAGAAGAACAAGTAGGCCTGAGCAGAGGAGGAGGTCTGAGGTTTCAACTCTCCAGTACAAGCAGAACTTTCACAGCAATCCACACCTTCAGGAATGTGGTCTCCTCACATGTAGACCTGGACATGAAAGATCTGGAAAACCTTTGGGAAGCAGAGGGAAGCGATGTGTGAACTCGATCGCTTTGACGGAGTTGTCAGCTCTTTCATACTTCTGTTTGAGCCGAGAAAGTTCCTCAGATGAGGCGAAGCTTCAAGAACTTCAAGGAACTTTTCTTCCCTTCAACTAAAAAACAGAATCCAGTTTCCTTGTTTCTGAACTTCCTGGGATAGAGGAACCTGGATGATCCCAAACCTCAAAATGGAGAATCCGGATCCGGAACCAAACCTCGCGGGAGGTCGACGGCTGAAGAAGGCAACCGAGGACTACGGACGCCAACTCAACACACGAACAATAGAACATAGAAAGGAGTGCGAGAAAGAGACAAATCAAAAACACACAAGAGCAGCAAAAGAAGAAGCAGAAAGTACAATAAAGAAGTCAGCCGTAACAGATCACTGCATAGGAGAAAACCATATAATGGACTGGGACAACACACGGATCATAAACACCGAACAACAAAAATACACAAGATGGATAAAAGAAGCTATCGAGATAAGGAGACGTGGATGTGGGACCATGAACAGGGACGATGGAGTTTACACGTTGGACCGCGTATGGGACTGCATCGTCAGAGAGGGGAGAGCAGGCAGCAGAGGGCGACAACGTCCTCTGCTGCCCGCGGATAAACGGAGAAGGAAGTGACGCCACCATCAGCGTCAGCCTGAGGAAGTCTGCAGCCGCAGACGAAACGTAGCGAAAACAACAGGTAAACAAAACTGTTTCTGTGTTTTAAAAAGAACGACAGCATGGACTTAGAACCACGACACAGCAAGAACACACCTAAGATGTTCACAAGTCTGTGTTTGTGATGTCACTGAGCAATAAGCAGCCAAACCAGGCAAAAACAAGTCAGGTCTGCTTATTTCAGGATGTGTGATTTATCTGGTCTCGTGTTGCTTTGAGGCTTTAAAAATGAAAAACTCTCAGCTGAAACACGACATGTTAGTTTCCCTACATCCTGAACATGAAAACAGTCTCCTACACCTATCTCCTGCAGTAGATTCTGAAAGAAAACAGACGGTGAAACTCTAGATTTAGAAAATCCTGACAGATCTATGTCACACTGTCACCGACATTCATGGACTCACCCATCTTGGCTCACGACGGGGAAGGCTGTTGCTGGTTTAGTGTCCAGGAAACAGCAGAAAATGTCTGTGCCAGTGGAAGCTAACCGTTAGCATTAGCAACTCCACCACACAACAGAACTCCTCCAGGCTTGTGTTATTTGTGGAGATAAAACATCAACGCTGCAGAGCGAACAGAGTCAGTGGTAGAGTCGTGTTGGTTTTAGCCAATCAGAGGAGAGATGTCAGAATATTTGGAAATACTACAAATCCTGTTTTCTGCTCCGGCTCATTTCTAGTTCCTGAAACAGGAGGGTTAGGGTTAGGAGGCTTGTACCTGAGACCACTGCAGATGTGTTGATGAGACGAGTGAACTTGGTCTTTAAGAGTTTTGTAAACACCGGGGTGGACTTTTCCCTACTGGCCCACCTGCAGCCGCTCCTGCTACAGATACTTTCTGTATTCATCTGGATGAATGAATTTTCTAAATTCTAGTTATGGGAAACCATCTCAACACCAGCTACTGCTGCTAAACCCTCGACTCTGGTATTTAGCTCCCCCGCTGTCGGGACTGGATTTGCGCTCTCTGGAGAATCCACCCTCATCCCTCTGAACTCACCGTAGCTCTTTGAACGGCTCGGCCCGGACATGCGGCGTCTCCACCGATTTGCTGAACACCGCTCCTTCGGCTCCTGGAATCGCAGAACACACAGTCAAACAAAATGCTGCACAACCCCACACCCCCGAGCCGATCAATAGACATGATCTCTGAGACTCAGCTGATCCATACAGCTTCAGTCTGCTCAGCCCGCCTGGCTGAAGATGGAGAAATGTTCTTCTGGCACAATAAACACAAAGGTTTGTGTGTTTTTGAGGGAAAACCACCAACATTTGTGTTTTCTGCAAACTACAGCTGATGAATAAAAGAGGAACTTCCTGGTTTTCACCTGAGAGGAGCGGGAGCTCTGTCTGCTGAGCTAAGTGAAATATTCTCACTGGCACTGAACTCCTTTGCTCTACAAGCCGAGACTTGGCTGAGGAGGCCCAACACGCAGGAGGACAAGAAAGGCCTCTGTGATTGGCCGCACCTTCGGCCCATGATGGGGTTAGCGCCGCCCTTCTGTCGAGTTTACGGAGAACAGCAAAGTTCTAATCCCTCCATCTGTGCTTCAGGAATGTGTCGCCTCAGTAACGAAGCGTGAGTTTTACAGGTGAGGGTCAGCGACAGGAGGGAAACATTATTTACGTTAGACAGGTTTTAACCTTCTAAAGCATCAAATGTCAATAAAACACTCCAGTTTTCTGCACTTTCTCCGAAACGTAAATGAAAAAATTTCCAGTCACAATTCTGAAAACCTCGTGACCCGTCGGCTCATGAGGAAATCAAGACCCTGTGTGAACGTTTAGGAATAATAATCCAAAACCTATTCCTTCCCTCTGGCATCAGCTTTCTCCCCAAAGGCCGTAACACATGTCATTTCTGACCCTTGAGCTGACCCCACCCCCGATCACCCTAGGGTGATGCCTGAGGATGTTTCGTCCTCCGTACTTCTAAGATGCTGCTGGATTAATTAATCTGATTCAGATTAAAAATGTATCTGAATTAGAAGCAGCTCAGTGAGAAGGAGACTTTCACCAAAACATTTTCTGTCCACAAAGTTTTATCTTATTTTGAAGGAGCCTTCCTTTAAAGACGTGAAGAACACACGCCGTTAACGTCAGAACAAACTCTACAACTAAAAGTCTCAGACTGACACCATCTGGGCCGAGGTGGTTGTGACAGGGAGGGGTTGACGGATTTGGGTGTTTTTTAATTAAACAGCTGTTTAATGGCTGACTTCCTCTGAGGTGTTCAGCATCCCGCTCCTTTGGGGAGCGCTTCATAACACCGATCAACCCTTCTAAAGGACATGGGAGTAAAATGTCTTTGTTCAGATCTGAGCTGCTGCGGCTCCTGCTCATCGTTTCCTACAGAAATAGTTCAGCTGTTAGTTTTTATCCCTGTAGCTACAGGATGTAAATCAACATGTTTGGTGTTCAGAGGCGATTAAAGACCTGCAGGGTGTCACTTTGAAATCCGGTTTACATTTTACTCCAAATCTAAAAACTAACTTCAGAATCGATAAGAAAAATAAATCAGTACAAAGTCATGAATGTTCCACAGAAGTTCAATAAAAACATTAAAATGAGCTACAAGACATGAACCAGCAGGTCAGCTGGTTGGTAGAGAACATCTTAGTCCCCAACTTACAGAAACGTGTACGGGAAAATAAGTGAAGCGAGTCGTCGCCATCTTTGTTGTTCTGCTCCGCCACATCGTCCCGCCCAACAAACCGATGCAGTGCTCTGATTGGCAAGACACAAAATTGTTTGGGCCAATGGTAGACCTGCTGAAGCTACGATAGCGCGTGGCTAGATTCTAGATTTCTAGGCTAATTGTAACATTCACTTTCAAATAAATACAAATACTAAATAATAATAACAAGTCAGTCTTATCCCAGCTACTGAGTCACTAAGACCAACAGCATGAGCAGATTATCGACCCTGCGTTTGTACGGACGGTAATGCTTCTCCTCGCTGGAGAAACACTTAGACTCCGTTCATGTTCCTCTCTGCTGAATAAACCCGGATTCATCTGATCGACGCTGCACATGAATACTGAAGAGAGCAGCGACACGTCACACCTCCGACACGATGGGGGTGAGTGAGATCATGAACGATGCCTTTGATGATTAATGCAAACACCTGTGTGTAGGTTTGAATCTGTGCATTTGTGTCGCTCTACATCATCAGCTCAGTGGTGATGACACACACACACACACACACACACACACACACACACACACACACACACACACACACACACACACACACACACACACACAATTTTATTCATCGTTGTGACTGTTAGAAAGCGGCCTCCATCCAGACAAACTCACTAAATATTAAGAACTTTATTAATTTAGCATGTTTCAAGATATAAACATTACAAGACTGCTTAATAAAAATAGACACATAAAAACCACAACAACGGTGGCACAGGAGTTAAGTGCTCGCCTAGTAATCGGAAGGTTGCAGGTTCGAGCCCAGCTCAGTCAGTTGCTGTCGTTGTGTCCTTGGGCAAGACACTTGACCCACGTTGCCTGCTGGTGATGGTCGGAGGCACCAGTGGTGACAGTGCTCGGCAGCCTCGCCTCTGTCAGTGTGCCCCAGGGCAGCTGTGGCTACATCGTAGCTCATCCCCACCAGTGTGTGAATGTGTGTGTGAATGTGTGTGTGAATGGGTGAATGGCTGTGTTGTAAAGGGGGGGTGCAGGACTCTAGAAGGTGCTATATCAAATGCAGGCCATTTACCAAACTGGCAGATCTCAGGTCCAGAGCTACTGCTACTGTAGAGTTTTTGTTTGCTAGTTCCTGTTTAACCACTAGATGTCGCCACTGCTTACCCAGCTATTGTTATTTTTTTTATCTCACTGACGATTTTTTGGGTGTGTCCTGAGTAACCTTCCTATAAATTCATTGCTTTATTGAATAAGCTTGTTATTGATACGCTGAGATTGCTTGTAACTGGATGCTGAGGCAAAAGGTTTATTGCTGAACATTAACGTGGCCTACGAGATAAAACAGCTCAAATCTCTAAAATCTCTACCACCCAGCAGAATGGAATAGTGAAAGTGGCCTTTGAGGATCACTGAGAAGAAACGTTTGGGTTCAGGGAAACGAGAGCCAGGAAGTAAAAATAAAAAAGCCCAAGAACACGTCCCTGGGGAACCTCACAGGTTAACCTAGCCCTAACATAAACAAATGAATTTCAGCAAACTAAAAAGACCAAATGGAGCAGCAGGAATGTGGCTTTGGTAGAAACCGTTGAAATGTCATAACCCTGCTTCTGACGGCTCCATAACGTTTTATTATGACTCTTTTATTAAAAATCTCCATGAACATGAAACACATCGAGTCCTGTTAATGTGGATTTGTTGTATGTTACCCAATAATAACGGTAAACTCCAGCTAGACCAAACATCCAGTCGCTGTTCTACTTAAACACAATAAAAATGAACAGAAACTCATTCGTCTGAATTATCGGACGTCAGCATGTGAAGCTTCTGCTGACCTAAGGAGAAAATGGACTCCGGTTGTTTTAAATTTCACTTTAACAGGATACTTCCTGGGTTTTAATGCTGTCACACGCAAACACCCAGTCATGAATTTTAATGTCTCCCTCTCACAAACACAGCTGGCTGGTCTTTTCCAGTCACGCAGCAAACCCTTGACTAACTGTGAAGCCGTAAACACCACACAGGACACCATCCACCAGCAGCTCCACGTGCTTCTCCAACTCCAATTGTGCCCAAACCCCACGGGGGTTAAAAGATGGCTGATTAGCGTACAGGGCCAGGAGCCTTTCATAGAAAGTCGACGCGCGGCTTGAACACGGCTTCTGGGAGCTCAGCAGATCTGAGCTGCTGTTAAGGTTACCAAGCATGAAATTATGACCACCGACGGAAACCCACTCTCAGCCTGTCAGAGGAAATTCCACCCTGGCACTGATCTGAGATGATCGGTGTGCTCAGCACTGATCGGGGGAAGAAGTGTAAAATCGCCGTCGTAAAGTATCCAATTTTCTTCAATCTGCTGAAGCCATCTCTGCTGAAACGTCCACTTCCCTGAGCCGAGAAGAGAAATGCGTAGTTTGGTCTGTAGAAAAGTAAATGATCAGGATTCAGTCTCAAATACGGGTTTGCAGATGAATTTTTAGGAGAAATGGAAACTTACATCCCATTTTAGGGATAAATAGCCTGCTGTGTTTCTGCATTTGCAAACCATGGAAGGTGTTCACCTGATGCATTTGTCACCGACGTGTGTTTGGTCTGATTATTGACACCTGCAGCTCCTCCTCATCAACAGGTGTACGATTAGGATTCTTCTGGAGGTTCTGCAGGATCAGGGAACCGACCCGGATTTTACTGGAGGTTCTAGATTAGGCCCAAGGAACTGGAGGTGGTCAAAGGAGATGAAGGTCTGGGATTCTCTCCTCTGACCCTCGGTGACCCAGAGTTGGATAAGTGGTAGAAAACAGTAATGTATGGAGGTGGTATGAAGCCTCTGAGGTTCTCCTATTTAAACCCATAGAATCAACTAAAAACGAGCTCCCGTTGCATCACAGGAGTCCCACCATCGTCACTAAAACCAAACTAAACAACAAAACACAGTGAAAAGTGTTTGATCATCAAAAGAAAACAAAACTCTGACAACACGAGTGTCTCCAGCACAAACAGACTTGTTTTCCCTGAAAAAGCAACGAACACATGCCGGACCTCCGGTGAGGAAGCAGCCAGCTCCTGGAGGTGGGTTTGTAACTCTAAGACAAAGAGACCTGCCTCTCAGTGTCCTGCAGGTTTAATATTCACCCATTTAATATGTTGTTCCCTCTGCTCCCTATTACCCTCCTCTCACTTTCCATCATTTGCCGGGCCGTTCTCGGCAGCGGAGTGTATAATATTCTACCCTTTTAGTATTTCAGTCAGACTGGAGGTGTTGCCAGCAGCTCTCTCTAATAAATAGCCGGCGCTCCCTGCTGAGACACTTTGCCCTTTCTCTTCTCCATGGTAGGCTGTAAGGAAATCAGCAGCTTTTATTAACAGGGCCATTCTCCACCTCGACACTAAGTTTAGGTTGTCAGATGGTGTGT